TTCATCATGATTTTTTGAACCTAATTTATTTCAATTTCGTTCTTAGGCTGCTGTAGTTATGGAAGAAACGCAGGATGCCGGGAGTCTTGCGCATCACGTGATTACTGCTGAGCCAATCAGACTGCGGGAATTCGTAGGTAAGAACGCCGGAGAACCAATTACAAGGAGAGTGAACTTGATAAGCCACACTCTGCGGTTCTTAACTTGTTGGGGACTATTGGCACAGTGAATCTCACTCGAGAAATCTGGCGAGCGAACCTGCCGCAGCAGCTTTTATTTTTTAGCCGCTGCAGGGTGCCGTCGATTTCACAGAAGTCGCCAAAGTGGCTCGCACGTGACGTCGCTGCAACGACCTCCGGTGCGTCGTTGCGGCGTGCGACGTGCTCGCGTGCGACGTGCTCAGCGTCTGGGCAACTTCAATCGCAGCTGATGTAACGCCAATGCAAGCCGTGTATTGGCAATTTTCCCCGCGTGCACTTAAACCTTGCCCCCCCTCCCCCCCCCCCCCCCCCAATACACACACACACAAAATTTGTGTTTTTTTGTTTATTTTTATTGCAAAAATGAACTGCGCATCGCCGAACGGTTGTATTCCGCCCAAGTGTAGCGCTAGCGGTCCTTTATCAGATCCCAAAGTTTCAGCCCTAACCGTCATCTTATACAAAAGTTATGTGATATCCTAATATTTTCAATGGGAAACTGGGGCCCATTTTCGCCCGTTTTCGGTAAATAGTTGCCATAAAGCTCCGTGTATTCGAGAGCTCTGTCGGCCGCCATTTTCCCATTCATCATTTCGGAAACTCAGTTTAAAACGTTTGAATAAGATAGAGGTGTGTACTGAAACTTTGGCGTATGTTTCGGACCTCTAGCGTTACATTTCGGCCGAGAATAAGCGTTTGGCAATGCTTAGTTTATTTTCGCGGTAAAAAACAAAACAAAACAGTTTAAGTATGTAGGACAGGCATCACGATGCATCAACGACAGATTAACTGAACACAAAAGAAACGTGAAGAACAGTGCACCGAACTCAGATATCGCAAAAGATGTCCACGAATGTAACAACTTCACTACGATTTGGTCCGAGGCAGAAATCATTCACAAGGAGAGGAATGATGCATAAAGATAAATAAGGTAGACTGTGCGGATAAAATTTATAAGTAATTGCATAAGTCAGGCTTCGTTAGAGTTCGGCAAAAATTCCAAAAAACATTTTTTTTTTAAATTATAATATTTTTTTTTTGTGATCGGGATGTGTATATTAAACACCTTTGCCCCACTTCAAGTTTAGTGGGTGTCATCCCTTCATCGCTGGCATAAAGATTTTTTTCTTTTTTTTTTGTGGAGGGGCATTGTTTTTCTTGTGAACGTTTGTTAGAATAGAATAGGTACTTATCCTTTTGTTAAATTTTGGGGGATATTGTAGAGTTATCGTTGCGAAGCGGCACGAAGGCCGTCCATAGTACTACTTTGTGTATTGGAAGGTTTGGCGTTGCGACTGTTTAGAGGTTGTCCCTTTTATGTTGGTGGTGGCTGATTGGAGGGTTTGGCGTTTGAACTGGTGAGAGGTTGCCCCTTTGTGTTGGTGGTGGCTGATTGTGGCCTATATGAGGAGGCGGACTAAATAAACCTGGTAGCTGAGATTGAGACGTCGTCCTGTCCTTTTCTGTTTCTTCGACTTATATGATCATTTCTGCCCAATCTCAGGCTTATTCAAGATGGTTCACATTCACCAGCTCACCTGAATCCTTACTATATTATCTAAAAAAAAAAAAAACTAATTTTTTCTTTTTACACATTGTATTTCTACAGTTTTGTCTTTAGACCGCCAGGTGCCGCGAATCTCTGATTTGCTCCAGACGGCTGGCGAGCGAATCTGCCACCGCAGCTTTCGAATTTAGTTGCTAGGTGCGTCGATTCGCTGGAGTCGCCAATGCACCTTTCTAAGGTCTGGAAATGTACAACCCAGTGGACGATCTCCACAGACATGCTAGTTGATTCACAAAGCGAACAAAGCACTCGCCGTACACACGGACCGTAGAAAAAAAGCACCGCCCAGAATCAAGACTTGAGTAAGTTCCCCAAGGCTCCTAAGGTGTTGAAGCTATTTGCGCGAGTGCGTCGTTTCCTTTAGCCTCTCCTTCGTACTAAAGTCACAGGATCCTTGGAAAGTAGCCCCATTGCCTTCCCTGCCTAATAGCTGGACACATACAGATACAACCGACAGACAATCAAAGCTTCGTAAGGAGATTGGTTGATCGGTTTGTTTTGCTACAGAAATCGGATTTTCGGTTTCTTAAAAAAAAACTTCGAAGCTTCGAAAATGTTGTCCCGAACCAGCCTCGTCAAGATCGCTATAGAGCGTCATTATACTGAAATCTTCCTCGCCAATATAAGCGTCCTCGGCACGGTGTATGCCATCTACTTATCAACCATAGATCTCTTGAAATAGATCTTCATAGATCTATTTCATAGATCTCTTGAAATAATATTGTTCGTCTTGAATATTAGAAGATCGGAAATTATTTTTCAATTCTGACGAGCGCCAATGTCGCGTAATGCGATGTGCGCTAGCTTCGCCGATATTTGAATAGCAAAATCACGGTATGTACAAGAAAAGTATTTATAGAAGAAACCTATCACGGCGAACTTTGATCGGCTCACCAAGAATGGAAAGACTAAAATAAAACTGCTAATTTCACGGACAAAAATGGCAACCAAATGAGGAGCAATTGTAACTACTTTCCCGTGGGATACAGTGACTACTTTGCATGAGAGTGCGTGCGTATGAGACCCAGGACCAGTGTTGTGCCAATACTCCATCAAATAATTTACAATAAAAGACGAAATACCCATTTAAAGATGCATTTACAGTAGTATTCAACTTATTGTTGGTACGAACTATCTTGAGTAGAGTACAAATACTTTGAAAAAGTAATTTAATTACATTCGAAGATATTTAGCAAATTTTGCTAGCTGGTGATAAAAGAATAAAAAAAAATTAGAAAGGGGTGCTCTATTTGTGATGACGTCTCAGAAAATCGCACTTTGCTGTGACTTTTATGACCTTCAAGAAGCATCTTAGCTGTTGCAAATAAAGTTTACCTGGAAATAATTCGGGATACGCAGCATCATACGTGCCCAACTATTTCAGGAACAAACAGAACTCATGTACTGCAGACGTGGCACCTGACTTGCTTTAGTTTGACGGCAGGCTCGGCTCTCGACGTATTCCGCATTCCGCAATGTCGCCGCCTTCTGCCAGCCTATAGACTCCTGCTGTATAAACAACTAACGATCTTTTTTTTTTTTTTTTTTGCTTCACTGTCTCGGTGTCTGGTAAGACAAGAGAAGGTCAGCAATGGCGGCTGTAATCTGGCGTGTGTGCAAAGCGTCCATACACCAACACGCGGCGCTGATGTCACGCCACTGCGGTGGTGCTGCTATTAACAGGGCGCATGCGCGGATGGTCCTCTTGACGCGAATGTGGTTCCTGCGCAGGCGCAGTGCACACGCCTTGTACGGAAACTGCGCGCTTGCCCACACCTCGTCAGGGTCTGTTTGGAAACAGCGCGTTGGCCTATAGACGATTGCAAGCAAGGCGACTGGCCACCGCCACGTCTCTGCTCATGCGGACAAGCCGTGCAATTGCAAGCTTGTTAAAGCTACGTTTTACGCGCAAGCCGCTAGTGTTTCACGCGTGGGGCACCAGTCGGGGTGCTATATGCTTGAAGTTGTCTTACACTTCGTACACGCGCAACCAAAGCCCGACGACAGGCTGGAGGCGGAGCTTGTGATTGAAAGCGTTCACTCCAGCTTCGCATAAACGAGACATCAACAAGACTGCAAACGTTGCGCCATCTATGCAGGTGGCATCTTCAGTATAAACTGACGCAAATGAGGCGAGAGCCGGTCTCTCTACTTATAGCGAATATTCTTGGAAACACCCGGGGAAGGGGGGGGTGGGGGGGGGGGGGCGCCTTTGGTATTGCACACCGATGAGTCCTGCTGATCGCAAGCCGGAGTCACACGGCTCGTACCGTACGACATCCAAAAGAAGACGGAGTTCGCTTCAGACATGACGACAGAATTACCTGCGGACGCGCCTCAAGCAGCTTCGAAGAACGTTTGATTCCTACATATGCATGCTTCAGAGAAGATATCTGCAGACAGTTCTCGTATGACTAATCTGACAGGACCCTCCCACAAGACACGCCACAGACAGTGTCGACAGACTGTCTTATGAGTAATGTATTACAAGTCGGAATAAGGCTTTATGGTGCAACAAAATATAGCCTCGATGAGCACAAAATCGTTGATTTCGAGTACAGAATTCACTGGACGCCATAGTAAAGCATATTGTCTGCAGCGCTCGTTCAAGGAAGTCTCAAACTTAGAGTTTCAAGTACAAAAATCTTGACGACGGGAAATGAACTTTCCACAAGACGTCAGCGGGACGTCGGGACGGGCTGGAAGCAATTAATCCTTACCTATGGCGGCGAGTGAAAATAATATCCCCATCATAATTTTTCAACCCGTATCATGCTGTTTCCTAAGAAAGCCCAAATTAAGCACATGTTTCCATGGTAAATTGGGGCACCAAATGTGCCCAACGTAAATGTTTATTCACTTTGCATTTCTTTTTAACCGAACTCCAACAACTATGTTTAAAACGAAAATAATAGAATTAATAACCACATAAAATTGGCCGAATGAGTCCGTCTATATTTCATGCAACCGCGAAAACAATTACTTAATTTTCAATCATAGCAAGTGAAACGTTAAAGGCTCAACCAAGCCCAAGTCATTTACTAAGCATACATAATTAAAAAAACAATTAAAATATAAAAAAACTATAAAATTTTACAGATATCTCAAATAAGCAACGGAAGACAAATACACTGCTAGTGAGTATCTCACACTTTTATATTAGCCAACGTTCTCTGTTTTGAGCCAAATAAATTACTTCTACAGCAGAAACAATTTCCACAGCGGCTATCTGGTCATTCGGCCTTACATATTGGAGGTTTGTGTTCGCCGAGCATGCTGCAAGCGAGTTGGAAGAGGTTCTTCACAGCTTGAGTTTCGGACAGTCTATCGTAGGCGCTACCAATGACAACATACGGCACATGAGTCACATGAGGAATTTGTTTCTGAGTTCGCCTGCCCATCTCCAGCAAAATCTGTTCGCCTTCCTTCGTGACGCACTCAGTCACAAGCGACCACTCCAACGTCAAGTTAAGCTTGTCAGCGCACTTCTTGCCTTGGTTGTAAGGGTCGTAGAAAACTGACATGCACGCAATCAGGGACAACCACGCTTCAGTCGTTTGGCAGTACTTAACGGCGCAGGCCTGGATTGTGTTGCCCTTGCATTCGTTTTGTCCGTGCTGACAGGTGACCGAGTAGTAAGTCTTTTTACTCCGTAAGGTCCTTTCATTGATATTACCATTTCCGAAAGGCACAACTGTGACACTCAAATATTCCTGCAGTTTGGTGTACGTAGGATACAACTGCGTCGTGATGAAGGCCTTACTGTAGGGACACATTGACTCGTAAAAGAGCGTGACGTTCACCTTGGGACGGACGATGTGGTCTTCGCAGGTTGTCGCGCTCACATCGACGGCGCCGTCGCTCACACACTCCGAATAGTTGAGCAAGAAGGTAGTCAGAGTTAAGCACAGACCGATGAAGGCGTAGGTGAGCGTCTTCGGTGTCATGGTTCCTCGAAGACCCTTTGTCCAGCGAGCTGATGTCCGAAACCGAAAACGATGACTACAGCAGCGGCAGATTGGCGAGCCGGCGTAACTTTCTTGATCGCAGCTCGTATGAGTGACTTTTTAGCGAACACCTTTCGAGGCGAGCGTCCAGCGCTCGCCGTCACGTGGACGTTCCAGCTGGAGCCCTTTAAGGTCAGGCTGAATTAGCGAACGCGTATGTTGCTTCTGTTCTTGCGTCACTTATCGAAACATCTGTACCTTGTTCTTTCTTCGAGCCTAACATGTTTTTGTTTCGTTTTTTCCTTTTTCTCTTTATGCACTTTACTTGGCTGGTTACCCTTACGTTATCTTCGGACATGGACCATCTGTTTGGGGTCTCTTCTAAAGCCCTAATCACGCTGCTAACACAACATACAAAGGAGAGTTCGTATGCACACCGTCTGAGTTGTGTGTCTTACTTGTATGACTGTCATCTCACATTGATCATACCCAGAATGTTCTTTAGACATCTTCGAACATTGTACAAAACAAACGTGCTTGGGGCGCGTCAGCACATAACTTTGCTTTTACATCTGCAGCAGCGAACACCCGCGTGTTTCTTGTATGACGTACGAGAAGAGGGACCGCGTCACGCTGCGCCAAAGCCGCTGATACTCGTCTGTTTTTGAAAATGCCCTTTTCGGATGCTCCTTGCGTCGCACACCTCGGACGTAAAGGTCAGCAATTACCGAAGGACATTTAGATTACTCGGAATCGAATGATCATTCTTTCAGCTGGCACAGAAAAAAAATATGTAAAGTTGTAAATGGTTGAGCAGCGAGATGGCGACGCCGGTTCAGTGCTGTAGAAATGAACTTAACCTGTCGAATATACGGCTGTGCATCGCGCAGCAGGGAAATAAAAACGGCCACTCGCCAGTACAATAAAACACTTTGTTATGCGGGGAGAAACTGGGGGAGAGGAAATGAAAGAGCGCGACAGGACCTCAGATCGTCGAGCTCTGGTTGGAATGATTAGGGTATAGACTCAAAGCTATTGGCGACGTGAGCAATCGAAAGCATTGCTGTGATCGGTCTTCCACGATAGGCCGAATACTGACTATAACGTCAGCAAAGGATTTCCCATCGACGGAAATAAGAGGAATAAAAGAACTTCAATTTTGACGGTGTTGGCAGTGTTAGTTTGAGAGTGCCATGATTTCAAGCTTCCACCATGTTCTTTACAAACATATTCAAACTTGTTGTTCACAAGGTAATGACGTCACAAAAGGTAACCCCACCAAAACAACCACCAAAACGCCACCAAAACATCTTGCCGCTAATAGTTACCTTTGTACTGTACCCTTGTCTCCACTGCACTCGTCGAAAGCGTTAGCACGCGGAACGCCGGCGGCCGGCGTTTGCCTTTCGCCTTCCAACCCGTTCAGCGAGTGCAAACGAGGGAAAGGCAGCTAACATTTGAACTACCCACTGTCACGATCTTTCTCGAACGTGGACGAAGGGGCCGAAGCACCCGCCGAGGAGAGACGACACGCAGCCTGGTTGAGGGGGTGGACGATGTCTGGCCGGAGCGCGTGCGCTCAACGGCGTTTATTGGTGCGGTGAACAATGTTGCCCGCCGAGCCAGGCGGCCGCAGACGGGCGGACTGGAGGGGGGCGCTACATACTTGTTACACTCCTCCCCCCCAGTTTGTTTTTCCTAAAACAAAATAAATGAATAAACAACGCGCACGACCGACACCATCTCGGCGTCTGGTCATGCAAAGTCCCGGCCTGTCGACGATGAAGGTCACCCCGGCGAGTAGCGGTCAGGTGGCCTCCTCTGCCCTGCACTCCGCCTGGGCACTGGTGTCGACGGGCCAGGTGTGGCAACGCCGGGCGCTGCCTGAATTGGTCGCGCTCCACCCGGTGGAGCTGCAGGGACCGGATTTGTGAGTGGCACTGGTGCAACTGGTGCCACAGGAGTGGAGACGCTTGTCGCCTCCGGGGTGGGTGGTGCTCCGCTGGCCACGACTGGTGCTGTTGGGCCCCCTGCAGGCTGGTCCTCTGAAGCGACGGCCGAGGGTGGAAGCCAGGTCCCGAGGCGAGGCCTGACATGGTCGGCGTGCCGGTGCCAGGTGGTCCCGTCGGGCATGCGGACGAGCAGCGATGAGGCGCTCGCTGGTGAAACCACATGTCCGGCAGACCAGGGTGGGCCAGGACGGAAGTTCCTGGCGTACACCGACGCTCCCGGCTCCGGCAAAGGCCCGGGACGGCACCCTCGGTCAGCAGCCAGCTTCTGCTTCAGCTGCTTCAGGAGCGCCGTGGACCGGAGGTCTGGATGCAAGACGTCCAGGGGGGTCTTGACCATCCGGCCCAGCAGAAGCTCGCAGGGGGCACGGCCAGTGACCTCATGCGGTGTGGTCCGGTACTGAAACAGTACCCGGGCCACCTGCGTCCGGAAATCCCCGGGCTGGCTCCTCTTCAGCTTGTTCTTGAGGGTCTGTACCACCCGCTCTGCTGCACCATTGGAAGCGGGGTGGTACGGCGGAACCAGCATCCGGCGGATTCCATTCCTCTGCAGCCAGTCCAGGTACTCGGCGCTAGCGAAAGCGGGACCATTGTCGGACACAATGATGTCCGGCAATCCCTGCGCCGCGAAGACCTGCCGCAGCGCCGCAATGGTCGCGCTTGCCGATGGACTGGTGACTGGCAGTGCCTCCACCCACTTGGAGAAGGCGTCCACTACCACCAGGAAGTAGTGGCCCTTGAAGGGTCCCGCATAGTCCACGTGCAAGCGGGACCACGACCTCTGTGGGAACGGCCAGGGGGTGATCTTCACGTGGCGCGAGGCTCGCTGGTTCTCCTGGCAGACCTGGCAGCCTTGCACCTGGTGCACGATGTCCTGGTCCAGGCCAGGCGACCAAACGTGCGACCATGCCACCATCTTGGTCTTTTCGATGCCAGGGTGCCCCGCGTGCAGCAGCTGCAGCACCTTGGCCCGCAGACTTTGTGGAATCACCACCCTGGAACCCCACAGGAGGCAGCCTTGCTCCAAGCTCAGCTCGGCGGTCTTGTGGCTGAACGCCTGGTGACGCAGCTTCTCCCCTCGGGCAACCGCCTTGACCACCTGGGACAGCACCGGGTCCCGGCTGGTCGCCTGCGCCACCGCAGTCCTGGTGAGCACCCCCGGGTACCCCGCTCCAGCAGGAACAAGTCAGCTGGCTCTGGAACGGCAGCAGGCACCTCCGGCAGGGGCAGGCGGCTCAGGGCGTCAGCAGGTCCCAGGTCCTTCCCAGGGCGGTAAACCAGCTTGTACCTGTAGGCTGCCAGCGTCAAGGCCCAGCGTACCGCACGAGGCGATGCTTGCACTGGGACCGCCTTGTCAGGCCCCAGCAGCCCCAGCAGCGGCTTGTGGTCCGTGACTGCCTCGAACTGCCGGCCCCACAGGTACTGATGGAAGCGCTGGACCCCGAAGATGAGGGCCAAGCCTTCCTTGTCGAGCTGGCTGTAGCGTTGCTCCGCCGCATGAAGCCGACGAGAAGCAAACGCCACAGGGCGTTCCTGACCATCCTGACCCCGGTGCGACAGGACGGCTCCTACCCCATACGGCGACGCATCCACGGTGAGGACTACAGGCTTGGCCGTGTCGAAGTGCACCAGCACTGGAGCCTTAACGACCAGCTCCTTGCTGTGCTGGAAGGCCAAGTCCTGCTCCTTCTTCCAGGCCCACTGCTGACCGTCACGAAGCAGTCGATGCAGCGGCTCCAGATGCGTCGAAAGGTTGGGCAGGAACCTCCTGTAGAAGTTGATGAGGCCGAGGTAGCTCTGAAGCTCCTTCTTGCTCTTGGGCTTCGGCGCCTTGAGCACGGCCTCAATCTTGCGGGGTGCCGGGGCCAGGCCAGCCTGGGAGATGATGTGTCCCAGGTACTCCACGCTGGGGGTCAGGAACACGCACTTGTCTAGCCTCAGCTTGAGACCGGCGTCCTGTAGTAGTGTCAGGACTTTGCGCAGGTTCTGCAGGTGGTCCCCGTCGTCGGTACCGGTAACCAGGATGTCGTCCAAGTACACCGCCACGTGCCTCATGCCCCTGAAGAGGTTGTCCATCTCTCTCTGGAAGATGGCTGGGGCTGAGGCCACGCCGAACGGTAGGCGCGTGTACTGGAAGAGTCCCATAGTTGTTGAAATGGTGACATACTTCCGGGCGGCATCCTGGAGCACCAGCTGCTGGTAGGCATCTCGAAGGTCGAGCTTGGAGAACCTCTGTCCCCCGGACAGAGCCGACCAGAGATCTTCTACCCGAGGCAGCGGGTACTTCTCAACGGTAGCGACCGGGTTGATGGTGACCTTGAAGTCCCCGCAGATCCTGACGCGGCCGTCTTGCTTGAGGACTGGAACAATCGGTGCGGCCCACTCGGAAGACTTGACGGGCACCAGGATTCCCTCTCGCTGCAGCCGTTGCAGCTCCTGGGTGACCCCGTCCTTCAGAGCAAACGGCAGCGGGCGCGGCTTGAAGAACCGAGGCCGGGTTCCCTCGGGTATGTGGATGCCGACCGTCGTGCCGGCGAAGGTGCCCACCCCCGGCTGGAACAGGGACTGGAAGTCGGTCAGGAGGCTCGGGACGTCTTTCACCACGTGCAGCGCAGCCTCCTGGTACTCCGGCAGCCGAACACCCAGCGAGTGAATCCAGTTTCGGCCCAGCAGCGTCGGCGACGACCCCTTGGTTAAGTAAAGGGGAAGGATTGCCTCCCTGTCGCCAAGGCGAACGCTGACTTGGGCCCGACCCTGGACCTGGGAAAGCTGCCCGGAGTAGCTGCGCAGCATGACGTCAGACGCCTCGATGGACACGCCGGGGAAGGTCCGCTTGAACAGCTTCCCGGGCATGACCGACACGCTGGCCCCTGTGTCCAGCTCCATGGTGATGGGGTGGCCGCAGATTTCGACGGACACCAAGTAAGGTGGCACGGACGATGGAGGCTTACTCGTCTGCCACACGTCGAAAATCTGCGGGTCCTCGGCCAC